CACACTTTAACCTTTACCCTTTCGGTCCTTGTCCCTCACACTTTAACCTTTACCCTTTCGGTCCTTGTCCCTCACACTTTAACCTTTACCCTTTCGGTCCTTGTCCCTCACACTTTAACATTTACCCTTTCAGTCCTAAAGGAGAATAGTCAAGAGTTCAATAGACCTTGAAATCTCTGGTGTTTTTGTAACCTACTTGACTGTTTTGTGATGACCTATTCTGCTGATTCTTTTATCACAACTAATTTTGTCAGTAAATTTGTGGTGTTGTGTAACATGAAAAATACTTTCAGAACAAACTGGCCTATCTCTGTGATTCGTTGTAGTTTACTGAAAACGAATGAATGTGATTGGAATGCACTTTGATGCTATTGATCAGAGCATTCAGTACTACACAATGAAAATTTTATCAATACATTACTACTGAGATTAAATTAAACTCCCAATTTTAATATCCCAAGCTAACAACTTTTCAGAAACTCGGTGTGACACAAACATTTGAGTTGTTAATTATGCTAACTTGATGTGTCCATAAATTTACATTATAGGTCTGAAATAATTTTAGCTACTTATGGTACACATTTGTACTGTTTGCTTTCTTAGAACAATATTCAAAAAGTAAATGAAGTATAATTTCAAAGCATCTTCCATACCAGATGACAGCAGTGTGCCTTACGGTCATCCTTCAGAGCAGGAGGAGAAAGTTAAATACCACAAAAGTGAAAACGAAGATGACGCAGACGAAGTTTCTTCTACAGTTAGTAATTTATCAGACTTCTCTGATATGTCAGATCTTAGTGGTCAGGAGTGGAAACCAACTCCAGGTAAGTTTCTGAGACTTATGTACATCAAGAATGTGTGGAATATTTCCCTAAATGTCCATAAATGTTCACTTTAAATAACCCTAAACTTATCATTAGATTATCAGACTTCTCTGATATGTCAGATCTTAGTGGTCAGGAGTGGAAACCAACTCCAGGTAATTTCCCTAAATATACATAAATTTTCACCTTAAATAACCCTAAATTTATCATCAGAAATGTTTTTCTTTTGATGGAAAGCATGAGTTTTGATTACAGTTTGTTTATATTTTAAGTAATTGTTGGTATAACTACTATACTGTATTGTGTATCCTGCATTCAGTAGGACCAGTTACTTGGGTTCAACAGCAGATCATGCAAGGAGTTGATCCTCGAACCATCCTAGAGGAGCTTGTTCCACAGAGTTCGTTTATTTCTCCCCATTTGGATCCCCTTACCTTGTGGAAGATAATTGTTAGTGTACTGAACGAACCTCCTCTTCGTACCAAACTACCCCACGTTAACACCCTGGATGATGTAGTCAACCTCATTCAAACTTCTGAAAACATAGTGATACTCACTGGAGCTGGGGTAAGTCGAACATTTGGTATTACAAAAATGGAAGTTGCTCGTGTATACATACACGTGTGTGTTTTTTTTTGTCTTCATAAATGTTGTACGTAATCTGAATTTTTAGTTTTATCTGAAAAGAAATACTTATGGCTGTTGGATAAACTGACCAAGCATGTTGATTAGTGTAAAATAAATACTTATTGCTGTTGGATAAACTGACCAAGCATGTTGATTAGTGTAAAATAAATACTTATTGCTGTTGGATAAACTGACCAAGCATGTTGATTAGTGTAAAATAAATACTTATTGCTGTTGGATAAACTGACCAAGCATGTTGATTAGTGTAAAATAAATACTTATTGCTGTTGGATAAACTGACCAAGCATGTTGATTAGTGTAAGATAAATACTTATTGCTGTTGGATAAACTGACCAAGCATGTTGATTAGTGTAAAATAAATACTTATGGCTGTTGGATAAACTGACCAAGCATGTTATTAGTGTAAGATAAATACTTATTGCTGTTGGATAAACTGACCAAGCATGTTGATTAGTGTAAGATAATGAATAAGAATATATAAAAATTTAGAATTAAAAAAATTTGGTTTAGAAAAACAAAAATGAGGGAAGTTTTTATGACATATTGTAACTATAAACAGAGTACGTCCAGAAGTGGAGTAAAAAAATTGGAAATGGGCACCGAAAGTTAATACTTTTCTTACTACAATTTGATATTTGGTGTTTTACCTTTGGGAAGTACGCTTCAGGATGTTGCAAGAGAGATATAACTTATTTTTTGTATTTCTAAAAATCAATATATTTCTTTTGGCATCTTTATCAAATCAAAGAATTCTTTATGCATTCTGTGATTTAATCAGTAAAAATATAAAATAACAGCTGGAAGAAGTTTGGAATGGATTTTTATTGTTTTAAAAAATTATGTCAGAAGTTAACTATGCACATAAAGAAATGATTTATTTTTACTGTAGCTGTGGATTACATTATACAGTACTGACAAAATTCAGCAAAAATCTCAGTAGTAGAAGTAACATTTTATTTAATGTTTGATGTTACTGATGCTTAAAAGTTACATATATATTGGTCATGACATACATCTTGATGTTTCTTACTTGAAATGTTTGTTACTGATCCTTAAACGTTACATATATATTAGTCATGACATACATCTTGATGTTTCTTACTTGAAATGTTTGTTACTGATCCTTAAACATTACATACATATTAGTCATGACATATTTCAAGTAAGAAACATCAAGATGTATGTCATGACTAATATATATGTAACGTTTAAGGATCAGTAACAAACATTTCAAGTAAGAAACATCAAGATTGTTTGTTACTGATCCTTAAACGTTACATATATATTAGTCATGACATACATCTTGATGTTTCTTACTTGAAATGTTTGTTACTGATCCTTAAACGTTACATATATATTAGTCATGACATACATCTTGATGTTTCTTACTTGAAATGTTTGTTACTGATCCTTAAACGTTACATATATAT